GTTCACTGATTTTCTCTTCAGCTGTGTCAGATCCTGTCCATTTACATTATAATTTAGTTTATTATAGTTTATATAGGTGATATTCTATTTGATTATTTTCAAAATATGTTTTTGATAGTCTCTTTTTGTAGTGATATTTTTAATATTCTTTAAATCTGTAAACATATAAAACAATTATTTATACTTGGTAATTGCAATATCTGTAGTCTTTGAAGGTCTGATTCTGATACTGTTTTTGACTCTGAATAATGGTGGCTGGTTTCCTTGTGTGGTTTTTGATTTTTGATTATATTTGTTGAGGTAGCTATTATTCCCATTTTACAGATAAGGAGGTATTTGTTGGGATTTTATCCATGGAAATTATTTGCTTCTGCCAGACACCTGAGCATATCCAGTCCTGGACCAGTTTAAACTGAACTTCCTTTTGGCATTTTTGAATCAAACAGATAATGTTAACGCCAATCTACAAACTTGTTTGGGGGCCGGATTGTAGTCAGTCATTCTCTCAACCTCATTTCTTGAGGTGTGGTCCGTGGTGTGCTGTGGAATAAATTAATAAATATTGCACTAAATAAAGATAGGGGATTCTTTAGCCAAATAATTTTGGGAAACATCAGGTTGAATGATGGAAAAAAGGTTTATTCACTGCAGAATCTCATGGTACCTAACACGTAAATAGGAGTTTTGATGCGTAATAGTTGTATACAGTAAGCAGAATTTTTCCTACTATTGTACTCCACTTTGGGGAGATGTAGGTGTATATGTAGAGCATCTCATGGGACCAGTGGAACACACTTTGGTGAACACAGGTCTGCCTCTTGACACCCTGGGCTTCTGCTTACTGCCTCCTCAGTGTCTCGCCCTCAGGGTTTTCACAGTTCGACTCTATGACTTTGTGTGTGTGTGTGTAGGTGCGTACGTGTGAGTGTGCATACGTAGATATGTATATCCATCTTGTATTTAAGCTCCCTGAGGGAAGATGTGGTTGTTATCTGTTAACCTTTATTTCCAGAATGAGACATTGTCATTGGACAAACTCTCGTGTCAGGCTGTCTTAAAGATCATCAGTCAGTTTCCTTTACACCAGGTACCTAGTTATGACCAGAGTGGTAGATTTGCAAGGATTTTTTTTTTTTTTTAACTTTCTGATTATTTCTATCTCTACAATTGAATGTAAACTTCCTGAGAACATGTATGTCTTATGCATCATTGTTTACCCAGTATCTTAACAAAGGAACTGGCACATATAGGATACTGAATCACTATATGTTAACTCTTTAAGCTTGGCAAGTCTATGCAGTCATCTGAGAGTGGGATAGTGTAACTAGCAGTCAGATTGCATGGCCTGTCCATTATGGATGGGTTACTTTTTTCATCTTACTGCATCCTCCAGTATCTTTTGAATAGAAATTGACTCTGTCAGACAAAAAATATCCAAAGTGAAAATTCCTTTTGAATATGCTATTTTCATTGCCTCAGAAAATGATTTCTTCCTTTAAGGTTCAGTTCATATGCCACACTCTCAGTGAAGCTGTGATTCTTCTCAGACATGATTACTCATTCCATTCTTATTGTTCCCATAACACTTTTAACATATTTCATTCAGCATGTGTCTCACAGTATTGTTGAACTTTTTTCTTTCAAGCCAGACTTTGAGTTCATTGAAGGTGAAACTGGAATGAAAGCTTAAGTGATATGTGCGTGCAGTCAGGATCTCATCAGGCATGTAAAAGATCTATTTCCTGGAAAGAGAAGAAGAGAATAGTAGGGAAACAGTCAGAGCATCTAGAAGATATTTTGGTATTTGTTAGATGTGGGCTAGTGAAAGAGCAAAGTTGGGACCAGTGAGGAACCTTGTTTGGCACTTTGATATATACTAGCTCGTTGGATTTTGACCCTCACAGTGAGCTGTGAGGTAGCTGTTATTCCCATTTTACAGATAAGGAGATAAAGTGCTTTCCCTCCTGTCACACTTGTCTAGTAATAATAAAATGCTTGCAAAATGTTGAATGGTGAAGTGACTGGGTCTGACTCCAACCCCATGCTGATGCTCCTGTGTACTGCCTAGCATACCAATACCAAATGGTGATGGTAAACTTTGTGGATTTTTTTTTTTTCCTTCTTCTTCATCTTCTAGAGAATTCTCTCCATGAGAACATGTTTCTATTTCTGAGATGGAAACCAGTGAGAAAGTATGCTACATTAATAATGAGCTTTTCTTCTGTGGCCGTCAAAGGCTTTTACGTCTCTGTCATTTGATGGCAACAGGTTTGGCTTTTTTTTTTTTTTTAAAGTGGGTGTGAAGTGGTGACTCATTGTAGCTTTGGTTTGTATTTCCCTGATGACTAATGATGTTGAACATCTTTTCATGTGCATATTAGCCATTTGTGTATCTTCTGCGGAGAAATGTCTGTAGAGATCCTTTGCCCAATTTTTAATTGGGTTATTTGTCTTTTTATTCTTGAGTTGTATTGTTGTCAGTTCTTAGTGTTTTTCTGAGTAAGAGGATGTTCTCACCCTTATATTAGACTTAATTAATTGTGACTTAAATACCTTATTATAAATATATCTTAGGTGATGTCCAAGCAGATAGATGTGGCAGGACTTATAATAGCTGCTTTCTTGGTTATCTTGTATGGAAAGTTCCTAATTACAAGCTAGGTGCTAATGTTATAGCTATGGTCAGTCACTGTAAGCCTGGGTGGGTTAAATGTTAGCTCATTTAGAGTAAAATACTTGCTACATATAGTACTATGTCTGTATAAATTTACTATAATATTGTTTTTTCAGTTAATTCAACAAGTATTTATTGAGTACCTATTATGTCAGGCAGTCTTCTAATCACTGGGGCCTCAGGAGTGAAAAATGTTTTGAGATTAATATCAGAGAAAGCAAATTCTGTATTATTGATTACCTGAAAAATATTCTTTGCTATTGTTTGTAACCAAACCGCCTCACATCTATCATCGACTCCTATAAAGAAGAGAAGGTGGATTTTACTACATTCCTTAAATCTGTCATAATTTGAGTCACCTCATAATTTAAAATACCTCCAAGCTGCATGTTTTAATTATATAGATTAATTGCATGAAGATCAGATAATGAAATTTAGAACCTTTAACTTCAAAGGCTTAAACCAAAACTTCAACTAAGTGAAATTAGTTATTTTTCATGTCATAAAAGTTTCTAGATATAAGAATAAGAGCCAGTATTGATGAAGCACAGTGTGTGCCACATACTGTTCTAAGCCCTTGTTATGTGTTACAACTCGTTTAGCACTCACCACAACCCCTATATTAGGTTTTACTATTATTCTCATTTCACATATGTGCAAATAAGATGCAGAAGTTAAGTGACTTGCCCTAGATCACGTAGCTTGTAAATCACGGAAATGAGTTTAGAACCTAGGTATTTGGAATCCAGGAATACTCTTATCTATTGTTGTTTGTTAATGTCGAGTTGATTCCAACTCATGGTGACCCCATGTGTGGAGAGTGGAATTGCTCCATAGGGTTTTCAGAGCAGTGACTTTTTGGAAGCAGATCACCAGGGCTGTCTTCCAAGGTGCCTCTGGGTGGGTTTGAACTGTCAGCCTTTTGGCTGTAGTTGACCACTTAGCTGTTTGCGCCACCCAGGAACTCCTACTCTTACCTGCTACACTGTGTTTGTAATTACTTTAAATACATAGACATATAAACACACACTTATCTTAAGTGCTATTAGTAATGCTGGATACTAAATCATGACCTGGATCTGTAGTGATGTGTATCACACATTGTTTATTATGTTGAAGTAATGTGCGGCATTCTCCATCTTCCATCTGCTATTTGACATAATTTTACTTTCTCAGAAATGTTACTGTAAAGGGTTTAATACTCGTTAAGTCTTTCGGCCATTAATTTCTTAAACCCCTGCCATCACAAAGGGGAGGAAGATGAGGCTGGGAAGAGAAACAAGTACCTGAATCCAGTTTCTGTGAAAACTATCTTTTGAAATCTCTTATCAGAGTTGTACTTATTTTATATTGTATTCCATTTTTAGCATACATTATGTGGGGGACATTAATTTTCACACACTGGATGTGCTAACAAGTGTACATTTTGATAGTTTGAGGGCATTCATTTTGAGGATGAAAAAGTCTGATGGCTTGTTCTTTTTTCCCTTGTAGCCCAGTGGTTGCTTATATCAATGCACCCGGGGAAGGAGGCGTGTGTCTGACCTGACCTCACAGTTGGGTGTTCCCAGGGGTGTGCATCTTAATGGGAAATGAGCCACCACTTTGATTATGTTTTGCCATTGATTAGACAATAAGCTTTTCTTCTATAGCTGTCAGAAGCTTTTACATGTCTGTTGACAGCAGCTTCTTAAAAAAAAAATCTATTCCAGGCAAAAAAGTGTTAAATGGCTTAAAGGCAGTCGATTCATTGTCCCAGTCTATTACTTTATATTTTTTTAAATGTGTCCAAAGGAAAGGGCACCATATTATTCTTTAGAAGATTTTAAAGAGAAACATAACTTGCATTAAAAATAATATGTCTAGTCTACAAATATAGAACAAAATCAAACTTGCTGATAGAATGAATTGTGTTAGGATACATTTAATGATAGGGCTAAATAATTTTCCTGTAGAGTATTCCTTGTGGATATGTCATGAGCCACCTTGTAGAATTAAGGGGGGCAGTTTGTACATATTTTTATAGTTTTAAAATAAATAAATTCCTAAAATTCTGCTTATTTTAGTCCTTTTTGTGTTTACATACAGTAGCAATAAAGCAGAGGCCATCTCAGCGTACCTTCATTGTAGAATGTGTGTGTGTGTGTGGGGGGGGTGTTATAGTGAAAAAAAAAAATTAAATCCCTTGTGTATTGTTATAAACGAAAATTGGAAAACAAGCGTGTTAATTTACAGTAAATTATATATCTGGTATGATACTCTTTATTTACTATACTTATAGAATCTTTAGTACTTGAAAAGTAAAGATATTGTTTTTTCCTCCCAGAAACGTGCTAAGGGACAAGTATTATTTGACAAAGTATGTGAACATCTCAATCTCTTGGAGAAGGACTACTTTGGACTTTTGTTTCAGGAAAATCCTGAGCAGAAAGTAAGTGAACTTACTTGAAGTTTATTTATCTTATTACAAAAATATCATTATTTTTTTTCTTAAACAGTTCACCTCAGCATAATATTTAGCTTTAAACTAACTTATTTTATTTATTGTGACATACCTTAATGCTCATTATAAAAAATTGGAAAATATTGAAAACTTACGTGTAGAAAGAACCACCTTTAAATTTTTGACATTTTTTTCAGTGTGTGTATTATATCTTTTTCACGTAATATATTGTGAGCAGACAATATATAATGTCTTATTCTTCATAGTATTTAAGAATGAAAGAACTGATTTAAACATTTGTATGTAGAATTTGTGTTTCTCTTAAATTCCTTCATGGAGTCAGTTTGCTTAATGAATTTGTAAAAAACAAAAGTACCTTAAAAATACATACATTAAAGTAAGAGGTTTTTCAAGCATGGGAAAATTGTTGTTCTGGCATAGAGTGAAATCATTTTTTAAAAATGGTCTTATTTCAGTCATATCCTATTCTTGGCTTTTAGTAACAAGCATAGAGGGAGACTAGTTAAATCAGCTCATATTGTGGCAATCAACTGTGTACTAGGAATCAAGCCTGCCTGAAAACAGAGCAGGAGGTACATTGAAAGAAACGCAACAGTGCCCATGTATACCTGCCTAGAGATTCAGGAGGGAGTGTTTATTTTGCTGAATAGACTGTGATGACTATGTGGAGTGAAAGTGCTCCTTGTCCTGTTGTTGGACTATTGGGGCAGAAGAGGGGATATGGAGCCCAGCCAGACTGAGGTGGTAGATTTGGCCAGCCAATGATTCCATGGAGATCTGCCTGACCTCACGAGGATGTTGAGGTTGTTTCTGCTCCAGGAGTTTTATAGAACATTAAGCAGAAGCAGTAGTGGATGCTCTGATGCTTAATGATAGTTCCAGAGAACTCTGGGGGCTTCTCAGTTTCATAGTAGTAAATTTAAAGAGAGAAATATTAATCAGCTCTGGCAAAACCAGACTTAACCTGTAGGCTTCTTCACTGTTAGGAAAAGGGCTTTTCCTGTTTACTTCTACTTCGCTCTCTGAATCTTATGACTTATTTGGGGAGAGAGATTGAATATAGAAGTGCTGAATAAGGATTTGACTTAGGGTTGCTTCTAAAAAGAAGTCCTTTTAGTTGGTTAGGTTGTAGTAGTGGACAGACTTACTATGACCATTCTATTTGAGGATGCCCATAACACTTGATCATAATAAAAGGGCTCACTGTCCAATATCTAACATTTCTCATCCAATATCTCACAGTTAATGGAACAGAACAGTCAGCAGAGGAAAATAAACTGTGAATTTTGTTTGCATACATTTGATCATTGTTTGTGTTTATATGTCCCAGTAATGAAATACAGGGTACTGATGGTGATAATTACATATAAATTACATTTTCTCAACTAGCTTAGTTTTAAATCCCTGATATCTAATTTGTGGTTTAGTTCCCCATTTACACTAAAGACAATTAAATTGCATGCTTGCATGCTGAGTAGTATGGGAGTATTTTTATTAGAACCCTTTTTAGAATACTCTTCAGATGTAATAACATATTAAACATTTCACTAAGTAAACTAGATACTCCTTTTAGACTATAAACTGTTAGAATAGTCTTGATGGTGTTTCTAACCATGTGCTCTTCTATTGGCTCTAAAAGCTACAAAAGAGAAAGTGATAAGAATTTGGCTATTGTTATCAACTTATTTGAGATTACATATTGGTAGGTTCATAAGAGCATTTAATCTTTGTAAAATAGGGAAACAGTCCAGAATGTGGTAAAACATGTAGTATAAATATTAGTAAAAATAGGAAATGCTACAATTAAGAAACTTAGTATTTCAGGAACACTGGTTTTGCATAAGGAAGAGTGGTATTTAGATAGTACTCAAAACCAAACCTCTTGCCATCTGGTCAATTCCGACTCATAGCAACCATATAGGACAGGGTAAAACTGCCCTATAGGGCTTCCAAGGAGTGACTGGTGGATTCAAATCGCTAACCTTTTGGTTAAGCCGAGCTCTTAACCACTGCATTAATATTCATTAATTTTTATTTTGATAACTCTCAATATATGTCTAATCCAGGGCTTAGAACTGGTTCGAAGTGGTTCAGTCATGGCTGATGAAGTGAAACTGGAACAGACCCAAAATTTTACAGTTTAGGTGAACTGGAACAATAACCAGAACAGGAAAAATACAAATCAAAGCCCTGGAATGGGAGACTTGGAAGAGGCATAGTGAGCCCTTCCAGGAGCTTGATGTGTGAGTTTGGATTATTGGCAGGACTATGGAGAGTGACACACACTCAGGGCAGTGAGATTGGCCGCCATCTTTGAGCAGGGCACTGCTGTTTCTGACTCTGCTCAAAATCTGATGAGCAAGAGATTTAGTTGCTATGCAACATGTGCGATGCCCTTGTTTTCTGAGAGGGAGATTAGGTTTCTACAGGGCTTCAACTCGTAATTTGCCCTGTTCAGGTTATTGTTCCAGTTCACCCAAATTTTAAAACTTTGGGTCTGTTCTGGTGTTGCTTCCTTGACCATGACTGAACTGGGAAGAACCTTTTGGAAGCACTGGTCTAATCTGTATCTTTCACATGAATCACAGACATATACACAACTGCCTAGTAGACTCTATGCTTAATTGTCTAAAAGCAAACTCATCATCGTTCCCTCAAACTTCTACCTATCCCCTAAAGAGCGGTTCTAGATTGCTACTGCTTTCTTTACCTCCTTCCAGTGCTTATCAGTCAACCAACTTTCTTTTCTATCTGCTTAACATCCTCCTGCATTCTCTTTTTCCACAGCTTTTGCTTTGGTTTAGGCCTTTGTTATGTCTTCTTTGACTCTTTTGTTAGCCAGTACCAGGCCCCAGCCTCTGTGATCTATTTTCTGCACTGCTGCTTGATTGAGCTCTTAATCTGATCTTGCCACTCCCTGGCTTAAAACCATTTAATAGATACAATCTAAACGCCTTAGTATGGTTTACAAGGCTCTTGGTCACGTGACCTTTTTCTACCTCTTTAGCTTTATTTCTCACTAGCCTTCACACGTACCCATTGCAATCAAGTCAATTCCAACTCGTAGCGACCTTATAGGACAGAGTAGAACTGCCCCATAGGGTTTGCAAGGAGCCACTGGTGGATTCGAACTGCCAACCTTTTGGTTAGCATCTGAGCTCTTAACCACTGTGCCACCAGGGCTCCTGCCTTCACTCATAGTCCATATTTAATCAATATCAAACCTCTCTGTCTCACAATGAGCCCTGATGGCCCACATTGTAATCTCCTTCCACACACAGTACTATTTCTTAAACTTGGAATATGCTTCCCATTTCTTTTCTGTATGAATGCCCACCTTTCCTAAGTATTCTACGTTGTGAGGTTTTTCTTGACTGCCTCTCACCACCTCTCTCCTTCTGCCCCCGATTCAAGGGGAATTCACAGCTCCCTCTGTCTGTCATGTAGACATTTAGTGCAAACCTTATTCGTGTGTCAGTCTTTCTCTCCATGACTCTTGTGAACTCCTTGCAGGTAGAGGCCATGCCTTGTTTATCTTTGTAGCCTCATGGTATCTAGACATTAACAAACATTTATTAAATACTACCTGTGTGCAAACTAGGGATTACTAACTGCTGAGGGTCTAGTAGGAAACAATTAAGACAGAGACCCTTCCTTCACAGATGTTTCTACTTTATGTTCTAGCTGAGGAGACAGAGAAGAAAAAACTAATTACATTGTTATTAAATTTTGATTACTGCTGTCTAGGAAAAATTCAAGGTACTAACAGGAAAAGCTCTTCTTAGGAGGAAATGATGCTTAAGCAGAGACCTAAAGTGTGAGTAGGCTTTGGCTGGGTGAAGCAAATGCTGCAGATAAGGAAGTGCATACATGGGGCTCTGAGGCAGGAACAGCTCCTGCTTGAATATTGGAAAGAAGTCTTTGGAAAGAAGTCTGGTGGGCTTGGTGGGGGGAGGATGAGATTAGGTTTGTGGGGAATGGGGTTATTGACAGGGGTTAGGTCTTGCAGGGCCATCTAGATTATATGTTAAGGTCTGGGAGATTTCCTTTTTCCTCAGAAAAAAGGTAACGCATTGATGGGCTGAAGCGGGAATGTTGACATGACCCGTTTTGTCTAAAGCACAAAGGTGGCCTCAAATAAGGTTGTGGAAGTAGAGACGTGAACGATTTAAGAAAGATTTAGGAAGGAGGTAGAATCGATCTAATGATTAACTGGGTATGAGAATGACAGACAACCAAGAATGAGGCCTGGGTTTCTGGATGGATAAAGGTGCCATTCCGTGAGAAGGGAAGTAGGATTGGATTGAGGGGAGCAGGGGATATCATGAGTGCAGTTTCAGACACGTTGAGTTTTAGGTCAAATAACAACTTCTAGAAAGAGCAAGTAAATAAATGAATTTGATTTTGTATGTGCCTTACTTAAAGAATGGCAGCTGGCATGGAACACAATACTCCAGATATAAGCTATCTTAACATTACAGAGTGCAGTGAGATGGTTTTATTTCCTGACAGGAATATCATATTTATATTGAGACTTGAGTCAGACATATGTATTTATAACTTATCCCTTTTTAAAAAGAATCTGAGGTGAGTTTTACTATAAAAATATTCCAAATAAAATTAAAATGACTGTCAGTAGCTTGGAGTCCTTGTGGCACAGTGATTAAGAGCTCAGCTGCTAACCAAAAGTTCAGTTAGAATCCACCAGTCGCTCCTTGGAAACCCTATGGGGCAGTCTACTCTGTCCTTTTGGGTCACAATGAGTCAGAACTGACCTCATTGGGCTTTTCGGGTTATTAATAGCTAATCATTTTGAGGTGCTTACTGTGTACTAGGCACTGTTCTAAGCACTTTATATGTATTATTTCATATATTCCTGAGGACAACCCTAAAAAGTAGGTATTATTATCAACCATATTTTATAGATGGAGAAACTGAGGCATGGAGAAGTTTAGTAATTCACCCAA